CAGAACGCACAGGATGGGCAGCTGTTCAACTCGGCAAAGAAAAGAAAGGAAAAACACACAGAGAGTCAGTTCTGTAATGGGTGACTGATCACAAATTACAGTGTTAGCAGAGCAGCGGAGACTCTGGCAGGTATAGAACTGACAGGGAAAACTAGTTACCAAAGGCTTGACTATACAAGTAAGTTTTTAGCCTAGACTTAAAGACTGAGGCTGTGTCCGAGTCCCGAACATTAACAGAAAGATTATTCCAAAGCCGGGGGGCTTTGTATGAGAAGGCTCTCCCCCCTAACGTAACTTTATTAATTCTAGGTACTAATAGTAAGCCAGCACCTTGTGATCTAAGTAGGCGTGATGGTTCGTAGTGAGAGAGAAGTTCACTCAGGTACTGAGGGGCGAGTTGAAGCTTGTTAAGGCTTTTGCTGGGACATCCAGCCAGCAGGGCATTACAGTAATCTAGCCTTGAAGTAATAAATGCATGAACTAACTTTTCTGCATCCTGTAGAGATAATGCATTTCTTAATTTAGCAATATTGCGGAGATGCAGGAAGGCTGTTCTAGTAAGACAGCAGCAATATGCAAATGACTGCAGTTCTGATTGGCTGCACTGTGTCATGCTTCATTCAAAAAGCAGTACAGGCTGAAGCACTACTTATAACTTCAGTGTGGTTCAGCTGGGCTTAACTGCAGTGAACAGTGAATTCAAAATGAGCTGTTTTAGCAGAATAGTTTTCACATATGGACTGTGTAGTGACAACTATGTCTTGATTCTTGTAACAGTGTTTACATCTCTTTTGTTCCAAAAAAAGTGAGGAGAAATTCAGTTTTTGCATGATAACCATTTAATTATGCATGGAAATTCCTAGTAAAAATAATATGAGTGTCTCAGTGGTTATATTTCAATATAAAATGTAGTTATAGTGAGCTGGGGATAGACTTTATTAATGTTTTAAGTTGTGTCTAAAACATGCACATAGGTTGTTGTGAAGGACACTTTACCTCTGTTTGAAATGCCTTTCATATTTACTTTACATACATGTTTGTATATATACTATCAGTAAGAGACAAATGACATCTTGGAATCTCCCACAGACATTTTGAAACCCCAGTCAGATGAGTCAGATGGTGTGAAGTTTGCAGATGTTTAAGTGTAAAACTATTTTCAAGGTTTCAGGAAAGGACACTCGTCCTTTAAACACTTCAGGAAATGGCACTTGTCCTTAAAATGCCGCAATTCCAGAGAGCTGAGTCAGCAATCTAGTCACAAATGGCAACATACCTTGTGGAGAAAACCTTTCTGGACTTTTTTTCTTAGTTTGGAATGTGAATCGTCTAGTGGGTCGTTTTAATAAGCAGCGCTGGTGCTGCGGGATGACATGAATTGCTTTCGGGTTTGTGCCACAATATGTTAATTATATATGGCTTTCATAAATCAACATAAAGTTACTACAAATATGCACTGAACCACAAGAAAACAGGCCTGACCTCTCTCACAAATGGTGAAGAGTTGTAGTGGAGTGTGAGCTTGAATGTCTAGTTTTTCATTTTCCATTACGAAACCAAAATGCTTGACGTTCTCTCACAATAGCTCTTTGAAAGAAAAGCTGGGTGGCGAAAGTACATGTAATGCTTATTCGAATGCATTGTTGTAGACTTGCTTGATGCTAGATGTTCAAATAATCCAAAAAGAAGCTGATTTGGGCCCATATCATGGAAAACTGAATTTTCCTCATATTTTTTTAAATGAAAGCATTTAATAGAATATATGAACAGGTTCCAAAACATACTGTTCACCACCCTGTCCATACAGTTCCACTGACACTTTTACATACTACCCACTTGTGCTGAAGCTATACTACTTTTTGAATGAGGCACAATAGAGCAGCCAATCAGAACAGAGCTTATTTACATATATCAGTCTTAAAGGCACGGTAACAAAGACAGCAAGAGGTTGGAAAGTGGTTGGATAAAAATCCATAAAAGCACACAAATAAAAATATATATATATATTGAAGTGTAAGAAAAAAGTAGAATGTGGGCCTTTAATTCCTGTGTATGTGTTTTCTTATTTGCATGACTGGGGGATGTTTACTGAAACAGAGTTTGCCTGTTTAGCTGAATGACATGAGCCCAAAATAAATTAAGATACAGTCAGGTCCATAAGTATTTGAATAGTGACACAGTTTTTGTAACTTTGCCTTTGTACACCACCACAGTGAGTTTGATGAAGTGTAGACTTTCAGCTTTAATTTCAGGGATTCAACAAAAGTTAATCGCAACTGTTTAGAAATTACAGCCTTTTTTACATAGTCACTCCATTTTCACAGACTCAAAAGTAAGTGAACAAACTAACATAATCATAAATACAAGGATTATTTTTAAACCTTTAACATTTTAATATTTTAATAATGACTGCCTGAAGTCTGGAACCCATGGACATCACCAAATGCTGATTTTCCTCCCTTGAGATGTTTTGCCTACCTTGTTTCCTCCCTTGAGAGGCCTTTACTGCAGTCACCTTCAGTTGCTGTTTGTTTGTGGGTCTTTCTGTCTTCAGTCTTGTCTTCAGTAAGTGAAAAGCATGCTCAGTTGGGTTGAGGTCAGATGACTGGCCATTTAAAAACATTCCATTTCTTTTCCTTAGGCTTTTGGGTTGCTTTTGTGGTATGTTTTAGGTCATTATCCATCTGCACTATGAGGCACCGTCCTATCAGTTTTGCAACATTTGACTGAATATGAGCAGAAAGTCTAGCTCTATACACTTCACAATTCATCCTGCTACTTCTTTCAGCAGTCACATCATCAACAAAGGTGACCCAGTTCAATTAGCAGCCATACATGCCCATGCCATAATACTGCCTCCACCAAGTTTGACAGATGATGTGGATCATGAGCCCTTCTTTTCCTTTTCCATACTTTTCTCTTCCTATCATTCTGGTACATGTTAATCTTGGTTTCATCTGTCCTAAGGATCTTGTTCCAGAACTGGGCAGGCTTTTTTAGATGTTTTCTAGCAAAGTCTCCTCTGGCCTTTCTGGTCTTGAGTATTACCGGTTATTTGCATCTTGAAGTAAACCCTCTGTATTTACATTCATGAAGCATCTTGATGGTAGACTTTGACAGTGATACGCCAATCTCATCTAGAATGTCCTTGACTTGCCTAGATGTTGTGAAATGGGGTTTTCTTCACCATGGAAAGAATTCTGCAGCCATCCACTTCAATTGTCTTCTGTGGTCTTTCAGGCCTTTTGGTGTTGCTGAGCTCAGTAATGCATTCCTTCCTTTTATCAATGTACCAAATTGTTGATTTAGCCAAAGTGTCTGCTATCTCTCTGTTTTTTGTTTTTTTTTTCGTTCTGATAATGGCTCCCTTGCATCCTCATCTCTTTGGACTGCATTTTGAGAGTTCCCATGAACAGCTACCAAGAGAAATATGACAGCATTTTATTGTATTGTGATAAATGATGTATTATGCTTTCCAAAAGCATACTGTGGACATTGTCAGTACTTTGTCAGTGCCAATTGCATGTCTCATTACAAAGAGAGCATACTTAGTCCTGTGTTTAGCACGGTTTTGAATACAAATCAATGCATTCATAGTTTCTGACACTATTTTTGTGGTGCTACTGTTTTTTTTTATTTGTTCCAAGCCTCAGAAAAACTAAACAACATGTAAAGGCATCATGTATAAAGAAATTGTCTTAAAATATTGATATTTTTTCCATATCACCTGCCACATCTGTACAATGTACTGCTGTAGTACAAGATTTTTACTGTATTTAAAAACTGAAAAATGTAACATCACAATACATGTTATGTATCACAATATTTCTGGGATTTTCAAATGTGATGGAATGGACAAAATGCACCAGCAAATCAGCAGTGAAACTTTTTTAAACCAGATTTAAAAAAGGGAAGTCAAATTAATTAAATAAATGTATAAATTAATAAAATAAAATAATAGCATAATAGGCTGACATCCAAGCAAGTACTTGTTACTGTGGTTACTATGCAGTTACTGTACACTGGCTGTTACAGGCTTTGTACACTATAAAAATAAAGATGCTAAAGGGGTTTTTGCACAAAGCCATAGAGCAGGGGTGTCAAACCCAGCCAGTAAAAAATCTAATCAAATCTGTGGTCCAGAGAAAAAAAAGTTTTTATTTCATTTTTAATTAATGTTGTGCTATAACCCGAACTGGCCATTGGGTCAGGAGAGTAGGTACACATTACGTTGCAATGCATGGACCAAATGATAGGACTAGTTTGAGAAGCACTGCTTTAGAGAACCATTTTGTAAATAAAATTTGTGAGATTGAAGAACCATTTAAAAGTTGCATAATGGAAATGTTCTAAGAGGAACTTTTTAAATAGGTATAGAACCTTAACATTTAACAAAAAAAACCTTAACAGTTTATAAACCTTTAGAAGATTCTTCACACTTGCAGATCTCTTCTAAATGATTCTTTACACCCTTAAAAAGGGTTCTTTAAAGGTCACAGCTATATATAGAACCATGAAACTCAATGAATGTTTGAATGTTAAAAGTTCTGTGATTTCTGTTTTTTCTTTGATGGAAAATCTGTTCAATATAATTCTGTAAAGTATAATTCTTTAACCGTGGTCCTACAGAGCACCAAACAGGGTTCCACTATTGCTACAAGTCAAAGAACACTTTGTGTTGGGAACTAAAAGTGGTTCTTCCATGGCACAGTATACTCTGTGAAAATGTACTGTGACCTAGTTTGTTATGATGACAATAACATATCACCCTAAACATTCCTGTTGGACAAATCCTCATTTTGTTATTCAGTTTATTAGGTTATTCTGCAGCCAGACTGACTGAACTAAAATCACAGTTTTTAAAGGGGTATGAAAGAGGAGTGATGAAAGAGGAGGGAGCAAAATGAGGGTTGTGCCGCAAAGGCCTCTGCCCCTCCCACAGCTAGCGAAGTCTACCCTTTTAGCTTGCCTTCAAGTACACACACACAGAGACAGTCAGACAGAGGCAGCGGGGCCTAGCAGACAAAATCAGGACGTGACATCATTACAGGAAGAGAAGCCAAACAACATTTCTTTCTGTTTTATCGGGTCCTTTCTGCTTTTTCTCAGGCATATTTCAAGTGGCCGGGTTTGCCGATGATTGAGAGAGGAGTTAAAGTTTCTTCAGAGGAGAAATCCAGTGTGATCCATGTCCTCTGGGAGATAAGTGGAGGCAGAGGAATTCTCTCGAGCGTTCCCACAGATCCCCACAGCATTCCAAGCGTTCAAAGCGGGCCGTCAGCCAGGTACTGTAGGGAAGAATTCAATCTCTCTCTCTCTCCCTCCCTCTCTCTCTCTGCCTGCTTATCCTTGCCTCTAAGTTCATATCACCTCAATGCATCTGCCAGAGTTCTTCTTTTACTTTATTTGTTGTTGTGGTCCTTCTGAAATTTTATTGTACAGCAGTTCTCTTGGCTTGATATTTTTAATAAGAATATATAGGCTTAAAAATTAGCTAGAAATGAGTACTTGAGGTTGTGCAAATAAATCATGTGCTTTACCTCGCCCACATAAAGTGTTATGTAAAGTCCTGAAGTCTGTTTCTATTCTGAAATTTTATTACTGAAGTACAGAACTATGCAAAACTCAGTAATCCATCCTTCATTTGTTTCATTTTGAGTCAAAACAGACATTAAGTAGATTTATATTAATTTTTTCTGGAGATATTTTTGAGGAGATTATATATAAGATAATCCACTTGCATAAGGAAGGAGAACGTCAAAGGAATCCATATAAGATAATCCACTTGGATAAGGCAAGGGAAACGTCAAAGCAAAATGAGTAAAAAACAGGGCTTTTCAAAACTGGAGTTCAAAAAATTAGCAAAAGATACATAAAAAGTGGGAATCCTAACAGCTGTGCAAGACCTGGTAGACCACCAAAACTGGCACCATCACCTAAACAGAGATAGGAGAAGATCAAACTCCACTCTTGGTTCAGATCTGAAAAAAAAAGTTTTTTCTGTTCATCCTTCTACTGTTGGAGCACAACTCAATTCTATGAGTCTGATAGGATGTGTAGTTGCCAGGAAGCTATTAATGAGAAAGGAAAAAAATAGACAAAAAAAAAACCCTGCTGGTGTTTTCAGAATGATGGACTGGGATTACTTGGATAATGAAAAGCAGAAAATACAACCAACTTCCTCAAGACTGAATTTTGGAGGTGTGGAAAAATATCCCTGCAAATTTTGTTGAAAAACTGAAAGCAAGTCTCCTGAAAAGAATGGAAGCTGATATAAAGGGAAAGGATGAACATACTAAATACTAAAAAAAATGATATGTTTAGTTGTTGAGAAATATATGTTTAAAAGAATGAATGGGGGCTCTGACCTTTGCAATATTTTAGAGCAACAGAGTAGTCCCTTATGATGACAGTGAGGACCTTAATGGTGACAAGCAACGACTTGTCACTGCATGATGGCTGTTTTGAAAGTGCATTTCAAAAATGTTCACATTGTCCTGCATGACTCTTCCCTCTTAACTTTACTGGAGGGCTGGCATTGGTCCAGAGAATTAAGGAAGGAGATTTTAAGGACTGACTTTTATTATGGAAAATAAAGTAAGCCACAGACATATGAAATGCCTCTTCACTACATTCTGTAAAAAAGAGGCCTTTTGCCATAGAAGAATGACTTTTGGTTTCCTAAAGAGCAGAGTTTTTTTTTTTGGAAGAATCATCCACTGAAAGGTCCTTAAGGAACCAAAAGTGTTTTTCCATGGCATCACTCCAGAATGCTTTTTGGCACCTTTATTTTTAATAATGTGGTTTCTTTCATTCTTCTTTGGCCTGAGACAAACACATTTGTAGCAGAGAGAGAAAAAGACAGAGGAAGACAGACATGACGCAGGCACAGAAAACAAAAGAGTCTCAATTCCAGCCATTTTGAATGAGTTCCCCACGAATGTCTGGATACAGTATAATTTCACAGTGGATAGCAGTGGTCAGTGGTATTCCCCAGGGATTTGAAACATGCTCCGTCTTTTGCCAAATTAGAGGGCTAATTCCAGTTCAGAAGTGCAATGTGCACAGGTTATACTGATGTGTATGAAATAAAAATGCAAAGAGAGGCTGCAAAGTCACAGAAGTCTGTTGAGAAAAAAAAACAAGCTGTGAATTGAAAGGGTGAGGCCCTATAGTAAAGGACTGTTATCTCATCTCATCCGGCCAGACTGCACAGACACATAGGAAGAGGTGAAAAAGGACGAGCATGTAAAGTGAAACACTGTATGTGTCAATGTATATATCTAAATTATGGCAGTACTAATTATACATGAAATGCATGAAAGGCAGCTAAATGCTGAAAAGAATACACCAGTACTTTTCAACCTAATGTATGTCTATCACAGAAATTTGGCCTCAGACAGTTTTCCAATATCTTTTTTTCTTAAATTTGTTCTTGAGAAAGGTCCTAAGAAAAAGTCTACATCAGATTCATGATGTGTTTTTAAACCACAGAAATGTTTGCACATTTGTGCTCTTGAGTGTGTGTAGATTCTGTTCTTAACTAAGAACAAATCCCAAGTAAGAAAACATTGGTGAAGGTCAGAATCTTTGTAAAACCTGTTGGTTTTAAGAAGAAATGTATTCTTAAGAATGGTTGGTGAATGAGGCCCAGTGATTTGAATGCATTTCATTGTAGTTTGAAAAAACCTTGAAAACTTGTTGACTCAAATCTCATTCACAATTAAAGTCTATGGAGAGTTGCTGTGCATACACATTTAAAAGATAAACACCTGTGAAATCTCCACCCACACTTTCATGTTGGTAACGTATTTTTAAATTATTCCATCTAGAAAACTAGCCCTAGAACAAATTATACAGATTTACAGACTTTCAGGGCCTTTTGGAAATAAAAAAAAATATGTGTATACTTTTTAGCTCATTTTTATTTAATATTATCATAATGCTTGTTGTATTTACTTTCTGCTACACTCAGTGTTGTAGTAATTCTTTTATTTCTTACTATTATTTTACTCTTATTTTGGTTAGAAACAAAAGGGTTAAAATCTTGAAATGCTCAATGGAAAATGATCCCTTCATTAACTACATAATTAGGAACTGACAGTGCAATCAGCCACTCATGTTTTGGTCCCAATGGGACCCATTTTGGAAAAACATCACTTCAGGCCTTCTGGGAGTTCTACATATGTCACTGACTGTGAGTACGAGTGGTAGTCTGAACAATGTGTTTCAGTCAGTTTTTAGAAATGGAACACAGTTGCTGCAGCTCAATGCCAACTCTTTTTACTGAACTGCAATATGGTACATATGTTAATATGTCTGTTACAAGCTACAGACAACACATGGAATGTGTTGTACAAGCTTCAAATGTCTTTGTTTTATGTATCATGGCAAAAAATGTTCATGTGTTCATGTAAATTACTGTTTGCTTAGCACACTAACACACTACTAGGATCCCATAGCTAACGTAAATTAGTATTGGGTGCTTTTTAGCTCATTTTTGACCAAGTTTTGGAATGTGTTTCTCATAAACATTTTACTGATAGAATTCAGCATCTGCCTATTGGCTTCTATTATAAGTGAATTTTGAATCAATACGTTTTCTTTCTTTTTTTGTAGGTGCAGGTAATTGACTGTATACTACAGATGTGGTAAAAAAACCCCTGTAGCATTGCTTTAAAAGCTACTTGTCTACGTTCTGTATGTTTGATTTGGTCAAATAGACAGAAAAAGATAACTGCTTTGCCCTAAACTGCATTGACAATAACAAATTATCTACTGTCTTACAAGATACTGAGTAATATGTGAGATTAAATCATTTGTTTAAGATCTACACTGTTTAACTTCTGCATTTCCAGTCCTATTTATAATTGCGTTTTGATGTTAATCAGACTGTTGAAACATCCACTTCGATATGCACACTGATCTATTCAAGTTTTCTGCCTGCAGAGGAAATGCCAGCGTTATTTAGAGACTTTACATGTGACCCTGGATGTAATAATGCCCCACACACTGTTGCTCATAGCTTAATGTCTGCCATTTGTTTAGATTAATTTGGGTCCTCTCTTCTTCTGTGGTACAGTTTTCAACCTTGGTATTGTTGTATAGTACTATTTTTATTCTATGGTAAATTTGTCCAAATAAAGGGGAATTCTGTTAAATTTTCAAAATGTCTGCATAGTTCAATTCTTTAAGATATACACAAATTCACACCGATTGGTTTGAAATGAAGCATTGCATTGTAGAGAAACTCCATTCCTCCATTCTCCACTCAAACTCTGGTTTCTTTATAATGGTGATGATAGGAACCAGGGGTTGTGATGGCTACATCCCAAATACAGCCATTTTATTTACTATCCGAAATGAGCAATGAACTTACAAATGCCTTTAAATTTTACATTCGTATATTAATATGTATATCTTGATAATGGTACAATAATTGTAAAACTCAGAAAAAAAAAACATTTTCTATTGGGACAATTTTGCCATACAGTGCTTGGCATGGACCTCTCTGCCTTAAATAACTTATCTCAAATTATTGTAAAACAATGTCTCAGACATCAGGCTTATAACTGTATGTGATGTACCTTTAAGAGGCATTATTTGCTTTGGACATCTGGTTCCTATCACTACCACTGAGAAGTGTGAACCATTCTTACTTGGTAAAATGAATGTCACATCAAACCACTCTAAATGACTTTGTTTACATCCTAAGCTTTTAATTATGCAGAAAATTGGAATAATCAGTGGGACTCTCCACACTGATCCAGTTTTGTGTTCAAAAATAATCTTTTCTCTATATTTGGGCATGAGACTATGGTGGTATTTTGGTGCTCTTCTATGGTCTCTAAAGGGATTTTATAAGGAGCACAACAGATATCCTTCACAGTCTTCACTCTCTCTTTTATCTTCAATGATTTTTTTTCTTTTAAATGTCAAACATCAAGTAACATTTACTTCTTTGCTTTTTCAAACTGAGATATAGTCAGAGAAAATGTTGGAAATTCCTACTGTTAGTCATAAATTACCATGACTACTATCCTCTTTCTTCTGTCTTCATTCTAGAAACGTCAAATCAAGATCAAAACGTCAAATCAAGAAGGTCAAAACTTCTTCTCGTCCATCCATCCTAATCATCACTGGCACAGTTTCCACTGTTGGCACAGTGTAAAGGGACATGGCTCTGTGCCTGGGGCAGGTCTTCAGCAAAGACAAGACCTTCAGGCCTCGAAAGCGTTTTGAGCCAGGCACCCAGCGCTTTGAGCTGTATAAGAGAGCGCAGGCATCACTGAAGTCCGGCCTGGACCTCAGGAAGGTGGTGCAGTTGCCCGAAGGAGAGAACATTAATGACTGGATCGCCGTGCATGTCGTGGACTTCTTTAACCGCATCAACTTGATCTATGGAACAGTCAGTGAGTTCTGCACAGAGAGGAGCTGCCCTGTGATGTCCGGAGGCCCTCGCTATGAGTACAGATGGCAGGATGGGGGCCATTACAAGAAGCCCACCAAACTACCAGCCCTAAAGTACATGAACCTGTTGATGGACTGGATTGAAGCACTCATCAACAATGAAGACATCTTCCCAACACGCGTAGGTGTGTGTGCGAGGTCTGCAGTGCTGCCTGTGAGACCTGGAGGCCATTCTTTACTTGCATGCTTCTTGAATTAAATTTTATATAACCATGGAAACCGAGTGAATCACGGCGAGTTTGTTTGAAGTTTGACACAGTGTCAGATTGTCAGAAGTGGAAGCTGAAGTGCATCCGAACGGTTGATTTCATAAGTAAATCAGTGACTAAAGCATTGAATTATGCAAAGAAAGCAGGAACATTTATTTAACAGAGGCATTTCAGTGTTGGCCAAAGTGCAAAATACAGAGACTCCTGGTTGTCTGGAACCCCCTAATTAAGCTCCTGGACCCCTTGAATGTCTCAAAATCAAGTCTGGGGGGAAAAATATATGCGTCCAGGGAAAATATATATTTTCAGATATAAATTCACAGAAAGGTCACTGTTTAGCCTGCTTTACCCACAAAACAGCAAGCTTCTGTCTTTGTGACTAATTAGTGATGTAGCGCTGGCCTGCCTCTGGGTGGCACTGTTGCAGATTGATTCACCCAGTTACCCCTTTATAGTCTAGCAAATATAACTTTACAATATGCCGTAGCATATTTACAAATCTGAAAACTTTTCCAATTTCCCTAGAGATTAGTAAAAAGAGTAAATTGTTACTCATTTTTCAACCTAAGATAAATTAAGAGATATGTAACCAAACATTTTTTTGGCATTGAAGCTAGCATCAGTGCCGCTATTGTGAGTGAGATAGCTGCCAGCCAATGCTGGAGTAGCCAGCCAACATGGGACCTCCATAATACCAGGAGGTATTTTGCACATTGGTGTTGGCAAGAAATGTTCATACTTGATATTTGAATGATACTAAACTTAGGGCTGATTCACTAAAAGTGCTAATTTCTCCTTACACCAAGAATAGTCACTCAGCCAAAATGTGTCTAGTGCCCAGAGTTTGCTTCTTTTGCATTGAACTGGAGCTACAAGGCTAACATAGCCAAAAAGTAATGGAAGCTTATAGCCACCTGCTAGCACTGTGAAACTGCTTGCATGAGTCACCACACATTTTCACCAAACCAGACTCTGTTAAGTAATCTCAGATAGACTTGCTTATGTGGTTTCTGACAGTTTATGACTGTTATTTAAAATGGACAACAGTTTGATGCATAGCTGAAAAGTCCAACAGTCCATTGTCCATTTTTACAGATAACACTAGCCACATTTCCAGCCAAAGGATGTTTTTATGAAAAATGTTCTAATGATTCAAAAAGCAGGTGATGATGTAGGCAACAGAAATGGAAATTGGCAGTAATATTTTATGGACGTAGACAAAACATTTTTGGAAAAACTCAAATATATGCAGCAACTGTTTTTTACAGGACATGAACGTCATTACCTTAAGCATTGTCATCACTAACAGTCAGTTTGATGGACACTGTGAGCAGTTTCATTTTATTTTGAATTGCTCTGAAAGTCAATGGAAAATTAGCTAATGTGGTACAGTTGCCTAACCCACATAATCAAGTCTGTTTGAATTTTTCTCACAACTTTGATGACTTGTTAGTTTCATTATGCTGCATTTACATCTGTCCTCCCTCTTCAGTTGGCTGCATATGGGTGTTATGGGGGCATTCACTGCGAAATCCAATTGAATCTTGCAAAATAAATTTGTCATTTTAAAAGGTTCTTGATTATAACTTGCAGTCAACATCTGTGATTTCAGAATATTAACATCCAGCCAAATGTATTTTCACATCCATTTTTAAATGTTTTATACCTTAAATGACACTGCATGGCCAGTCAAGGTGGTGCCTCTCTTAGAAAATGTATGGGATCTGTTGCAGTGCACTGCCTTGCTTAACCAGTGTAAATGCAGTGTTGGCCTCAGAGCTCCAGCTCAAAACTAAAGAAGCAAACTTCAGGTGCCAAACTTGGCTGATCAATTACATATGAGGTTGATTTTTAATGCTGAATCACAGAAGTCTCCATGGAAGAGTGAGATACTAAAAGAATACATTGAGAATACAGTTCTAGACTGCAATAAGAAAACTAAATTCTGCTCTATCTGAAAACATTCAGATATAACACAACTGATTACAAGCAGCAATGTGAAATGCAGTAAATTCCACAGGACTGACCTACTCTTGGTTTAACACATACACTGTAAAAGTGTCTTACCTTAAAATAAAGAGAAGTAAGTAAACATGCTGCGATAACATTTTGAGTTCATTGAATTTCAAATAAGTGAACAGAACATAAGACACAAATTTTTGTTCTGTTAACTTATTATAATAATTTAATGATCTCTAATTTTATTTTCTTAAAATTTTAGTGCAGCAAGTTTACTTACTTTTTTTTTAAATTGAGACACCAAAACATTTCTGCAGTGTATAAATGTGGTCAAAAATATTAAGATGCTCCAGGTGACTGATATTCTTCTCTTGTTTCAGGGGTTCCTTTTCCTAAGAACTTCCAGCAGGTGTGTAAAAAGATCCTAAGCCGGCTTTTCCGCGTATTTGTGCACGTGTACATCCACCACTTCGACAGCATCTGCAACATGGGAGCAGAGGCGCATGTCAATACCTGCTACAAGCACTACTACTTCTTCATCTCTGAGTTCAGTCTCATCGATCACTTGGAACTAGAGCCACTGGTGAGAACAGCATGTTTGAACTTGAAAGATGTTTATGATTTACAAAGCAGACAGTGGGTGAGGAGGATGGTGGTGGTGGATATGTTTGCTTAGGACATATGAAACTGCTTTTTAATATTGACAGAATAGTGAATAAAGAGACCTATACACCCATTATGGTGAACTAAATGTTTATTATGTGTCGTTTAAGAAAATGAGCTTATGCAAACAACAGCATTTTGAAGGGAATTCCACCCATTTTTCAAAATTTTCAAAAGATTTACTTATGCAGACATTTTGTGTGGTGGAATTTCCATGTAAATTATTCAGAATTCTGTAACACAAAAAAATGTGTTTTCTATCCAACAGAGACCCATGACGGAGAAGATCTGCAACTGATAAAAATGGACAGTGAAGAAATTCTTAAAGCCTAACTAAGTGCTTTCTGATGGAACAGTGGATTAAACATCTTGAGTATTTAAGCCAAAGGAACAATGTATTCAGGATCTTGTTGTTTTAGGATCTCATCCTTTCCTCAAATGAGACAAGCAGATGAATAGCTGTGGCAGACTTGATATTTCAAGAATGGCCATGGGTTTTTGGGTCCAATGCTATCTGTGCCAAAATCCTATTTCTTTCCATTCATTTTAGGATCTGTGCTTACGCATCAGTCTTCAAATGGCAAAAATGCACTCGAAATGTATAGTATTGTAATAGTTGGCGTGTCTTTTTGGCGTCAAATTGTACTTGGAATATGGCTTTTGTTAAAAAATGTTGCCTGACGAAACCTTTTTTATGTGAAAGACTGATAGAAAATTTTTGCTGCATATTTACATTTCTGAACATCGGAGATGTGTCGTGAACATGTTCTGTGTTATAACGTATTTCTCTGAGGTTGAGTCCAGCTGGGCATGTTAAACAGCTGAGGTTCCAGGGCAAGTTTGAAATGCAACTGTTTCGTCTGTCTTGTGAAAGTGCCACAGCCCAAGGGGTGGACAGAAAGGCCCTTCCTTGTATTTTCACTCCTATGAAAAGGCTTTGTGTGGGTTTCACTGTATTTAATTTGTGCATGCTTTTAGAGACATATGTATGAAATAATTTTCCAAAGAACATCTCCCTCTGTCAAACCGGCTGAGCTGCCAAAAGAATGGGAAAGTACAAATCGCATGACTCGCCTTTTTGTGGTTAGTTTGAAAGTGGAGTTGATTGTACTTCTGCTAGAATGCCAATATGTGGATCTGAATCTTCCCATTTTACTTCTATTTTACTTGCTCATTTCTCTGTTTTCTCGAACGTGCAATGTGCAAATTAAGCAAAAGGGCTTTATGACTTTCCTCTCGTAACGAGAAATACTACATTACACTATATTATATATTATACATATTACAACAATTGCAACATTAAATTCACTTAATGAATTAGACTTTGAAGGCTGAATCTCAAATGGCTCTGTACTCCCTATATAGTGCACTACATAATTCACAAAAGTATGGCTTTACAATGAAGTAGTGCTTTAAATCTGTAACAGGGAGATGTGCAGCCTATGGTCTTTATGTGACCGCAGTCTTTTTATTGGTTGATCATTTAATAGAATGATTCCTTCTTTATCTTGTCATAAACAAAAACAAGCATGGCAGCTGACGAGATAGATGCTCACCATCTCCAAAACCTACGGAGCCCGGCTGGTGACATCCTGTATAAATAAAAATAATGCATGGCCATCCTGATTAACGTGTCGGAACGAGATAATTTAGTGGCCACAACTTAGTAAAGCATTGGAATGATATCATGCCTTATTAAGCTGTGGCCAAGGCTTAATAATCTCATTCCCACACCTCACTAATTTGTGGCCATGCATTAGGATCTTGTTCCCACACCGTACTAAGTTGTGGCCATGACTTAATTATCTCATTCCCTTGCCTTAATAAGTCATGGCCACGGATTAGGATCTCATTCCAATACCTTACTAAGGCTTGGCCACGACTTAATTATCTCATTCCCACTGCTTAGTAAGTCGTGGCCGCACATTAGGATCTCGGTCCCATGCCTTACTGGCCACAACTTAATTATCTCGTTCTCATGCTTTACTAAGTTGTGGACAACAATTTTTTATATGGTATGTCCCCAGCAGGGCACTGTAAAAACCAAATAAAAAAAGAATTCTGATTTATCCTGTGGTCATTTCAGAAAATTTTTTGTACGTTTGTCCTTCTTGAAGGTCCGTCTTGTGAAAAGTAAAAAAGGAAATAGTAGATATTTATTTGTACATACACAAATTTTGGCATAAAGTTTAGAAATCTGGACATTTGGACTAAGTGTAGTAAATTATGCTTTGATTGGTATAATAGACTCATTCAAGATCATTCAAGATTTTTGTTTATATTGTTAAAAGTAGAATCTCATGTTTATTTAAGAGTGACAGTAGATGATGTTCTGTGAATTTGGTTTGTGATAAAAAGCTCTTTGTTTATTATTATAATATGAAAATTATGATAAAAATTATGTAATGTATTAGGAGCCATCATACAAAAATCCAGGTACATACAGTACATACATACATAAAGCTTCGGTGCTTGCTTTGTATTTTTTATGTTGGCGATAATAAATATGTTCATTTTTTGCTTTGGATAAACTCTCATTTCATATGCTTACGTTAAATGTCCAGTATACTGGCCACTGAATATTATGTTTCCCAGTAAACAAATTAAGAAGAAATCACGTATTATGTCATTTAGTACACAGCAGAGAACATGTTTCATAACAAACCACTGTTTGTTTTTAAAGTGTCCAGTCTCGGGACTGAGAAGGCTACACAGGGAGTAGAGAGCCTTTTGATATTGCGCCTAAATGAGGGCACGGAAGGCGGTACGCAACCTGTTTAGAAACTCTTGGCTGAGTCCCAAATGGCTCCTTATTCCCTGCGTAGTGCACTATGTGAGTTACGAAATTTATACTTCTACACAAAAATAGTGCGCTATACATCCTGTATGGAATTGTGGCTGAATCTAAAATAGCTCTTTGTTAGACATATTATGCACTGTTTGAGTGCCGGAGTCATTATTTTAAGACCTACGTAGTGCACTACATAGGGCATAGGGAGCCGTTTGCGATTCACCTAAGTGATCGTGAAATAAGAGGAAGTTTGTGGGGCGCTCGAGCCGTCGAGACTGGCTGTGTGAACGAGTGACATCCCATAGATATACATACCCAGATGCCGCATTGGGTCCAGCCAGGCACGTCGACGGCACCGCCATTTTAGGGCGGTCAACATCGCTGCTGGACTGCATTCAGTACCATAACAGAGGGGCAGTTCAAGTAAGATACTGTCCAAAATGATACTATTTCAAGAATATTGCACTCAGAAAGAGGGACAGGATTATATAACGGAGAGAACACAGCGATCCACGCTCATGTTTGCGTGATGTTTATGTGTAGATATGGCCGTGTGGCACAGAGAACCTGTTGATGTGATTGTTTCTCTGGTTTTATATTAAGCTTATTTCATTAGTCCTTACACTCCTTAATCCGTGTAGATATTCATAATAGATTATCACCTTATTACACGAACCTGAAGTTAGGTTGTTATTTGCCAGCTTCTTGTTCGAATTTTCCCGTTCCACCTTAAATGGTGCATCAGTCAGCTTCTCGTTCAAATGTTCCCGTTCCACCTTAAATGGTGCGGCTTCAGGCACCAGAAAGTGACTGCTGCGCCATTTGAGGTGGAACGGGAAAACAAGAAGCTGGCGAACAGGACGCCAACTTTAGCTTCGTCCTTCTGTATACAAAGATTAGACGTGATTCACACATTGATGGATTTGCTGATTGTGTTTTTACCGGAGCTCGCGCAAAACTCACGTCAGGTGCAGACTGATTACTTTGCCGCTAGTCCGGACGGATAATTAGCACGATCAGTTAATAAAAAAATAAAAGCTACCGAGAGCAGTCCGTCAACCTAGATTAATCTGTGTCTGAGGATTATAACAAATCAAATTAGGTGAAAATCGGTTGAGTAATAAATTGTGGCCGATTTAATCCTGAGATTCATCATCTCTGAATACGAGCGAATTTGTTCACAAGGGGATCTTGACCGCTCCAACATGGCGGACGCGCAGACGTATCGCCTCACATAGAGAACAGGCAACGCGGCATCTAGATATGTATATCTGTGGCGGCATCCCACAACACCCAAATTTACGTTGGAAAGCTTAGTAAAAACAGTAATGTTACAATAAAAAACAAATAGTTCCTCTGCTAAAAACGGATTCTTTCATCTAATAAGAGTATTGTAGTAGATGTTCAACCCAGCGTTCGCTCCTGCACTCATGAGAGCTAAAAGTGGGACAGGTCCTGAACAGAGACGCAGGGAGCTGGAGGTGTGGGGGCTGAAGCTGCGGTGCTGCGGCTCCGCAGATGGATACCAAAGAAATGATTGCGAAATTTGTAAGAGCTGGAGCGTCAACACTCGCGCGCTCTCGCACAGCCAATGGGAGCTCAGAGAAGTGGAGGTGGGCGGGACTTTTGCCACTGTTGTGCTTTCGCCTCACTTTCCCTCCCTGCGCGCCACTAGCAGAGAGACTGGCAGAGGCGGGCACGGCGCACTTTACAGGTTTGATTCTTCTGTTTAACAGGCGAAATGTTCTGTTTAAACTGTCTGACACGGAGTAAATTAACTGTATCGGTAGCAAAAATGGTTATACATTTTTTACTTTAACGTTACAATGCTGCTGTATTAGCGTTAGCTAGCTAACGATACAGTTCACTAACGTTAGCAGGCTACGTGCAAAAACACCATTGCTGACTGTCTGTGACGAAAAGCCAAGAGACGGTAGATAATCCGTATTTCTGTCATTTATTTAGCGAATAGTATTTGTATGATGTGTTGTGGTTGGATGTGTTGCTGCATATCTAGCTAGTTAGCTTACGATGTGTTGGGTCGTAGTGAATCATCCAGAAGTTGTGGCTATCTGACTGACAACGCTGCTGTATAGACTGGTTAGTCATCCTGTCAAAAAGAGACGGTTTAAATAGAATCGATTTCTGTTAACCGCTCAGGACAGCTAACCTACGCTCTTTAGCTGGCTGAGTAGTGTTTAACCTAACTACCTACCTTAAGGCTCGCCAGAGGACTAAACATATATAGCTTGTAGTTGGATATAAGCTACATAATTAGCTGAAGCCTTTACAGTCTTACTCGTGAACTAGGTTATATTTCCTTTTTGAGCTTTTTGATAGCATGAACTTCCCATGCTAGCAAGCAAAGTCATTGAATGTTAGTTAGCTAGGTTACATTCTTAGAAATGGCACTTCTTCGGGGGTTATTTGTTCTATTTAAAACCATGACTGCTGTATAGAACCTTTTTCATGCTTAAATGGTTCTTTGCATGGTGAAAAGTTTATTCAGATTGATGGAGAATGTGTTGTATATGGTTCTGTATAAATTAGAACCTTTTTGAAAATGGTCCTATATATCACCAGAAAGCTTATAACGATAGAAGAACCCTTTTTGGTGCTGCATAGAACTATTTTTAAAAAGGTTCTGTATAGAACCATATACAACACATTCTCCATCAATCTGAAGAACGATTTCACCATGCAAAGAACCATTTAAGCATGAAATGGTTCTATATAGAACTCATGGTTCTAAAGAACCCATAGACTATTGTTAAAGAGCATAGAGTCATCTTCCATGTAAGTTGGTTACAGTCATCCGTTGTGTTTTTCCCCTTTGTGAATTTCCCCTTTATCAAGATTACATAAAGGTTGATTGACCAGTTGATAGCAATAGTCACTTACCGTGTTTGTTCATAAGAGCCAGGTAGTTAAAATAATACTGGGCGATCTTACCCTTGAGTGTTTGGCCAAACTGCCAGTCAAAAACTTTGGAACACTGTGTTTTCACAGCTTGCAGGGATGGTGAGGGAGAGCCAGCTCCACTGCACGCGTCAGGTAAGGACTGTCTGTGGATTGGACTGGCATAAAAAAAGAACATTTCTCTGTATAAAATTAATCAAGTTCAACTCAGCATTTGAATTTTGATTCAAAAGGACTTTAGTGCCATCTCTTTATATTAATCGTTACAGTAATAATGGCAATGAACTAAGAGTTACCTGAGAATTAAATGCTGTATTATGAGGACCTTAGTTCCACCCCTGTATATTAGTTGTTAGGGTGATAATGACAACACAATGAAGAATTTTCACCCTGGTATTGACAAATGCATACAGTGTAATTTGTTTGTTAATTTGCGTAGTTGGGCCTTCATCACAGAGTGAAATCTGATAGCCTAATGCTGGATAGTGCTGTCTGTTCTCCTAAGCTTACTCACACTGAATGATGTCGTGACTCAGCGCTCTTTCACTTCCTCTTTTTCCGATAAGAGGTAATGCCTGAAGTTAGAACTTTCAGTAGTTATATATATATATATATATATATATATATATATATATATATATATATATATATATATATATATATCTATATATCTCAGTGTCACTTGCTGAAGTGTCATGACTGTCCAAAGATGTCATACTATTTTTTGGACATAGTAAGGCAACAAGGAAGCCGCAGTCAATACAGGTCAAAGTATGGCTTTCCTGTAAATGTCATTCACCAGCTGGACTCTTTTAACCTACCTGGCATGCTGCCTTCAGGGAACCTCACAGAAATCAAACCCTGTAATTACACAAGTATTTCTCTGTATTTATCCAGGGCTTAGCTTTAGTTTACTTCTAGGTCTCCAGAGCCACTGGAATGTAAAAGACTTCCCACATGGTTTTATGTGTGATTTGTTGTATCCATCAGGTGACCAGAGATTCTGGTCCTTCAGACAGCGATGCAGGCCTCCCCCGTCTACCTCCTGCCTCCCGCTGTGCCTCCCAGACCTCTGCAGGCACAGGTATTAAAATTCATTTAAATTCTTGATACAGATCCTCTTATGTTAATCTGAACTGAAATTGAATTCTGCTATATAGTGGACTGTCAAGGCTCAGAAAGATCCTGCTCTAGAACGGACTAATTGCTATGATAATGACATGGAATCTTTGGTTTCACTGCACTAGGGTTTCTTTTTGTCTTCTTGTAGCGGTGATGGAGAGCAGTCAGCCAGTGAACATTACAGACTCAGGAATACGCAGGAAGAAGAAGCGCAGGACCCGAGCAGCGGACAGCTCCACAGACACATTCAGTGGTATTTCTCCCAAACATTCTGTTCCATGCCATTTAACAGTACTGAAAGCTGTAAATTAGATCAAAAAGTTGTTAAATTGTACTGTTTTGTCCATATGTGTCACTAATATGTACACTACACAACTGTTAAAGTCCTAACAGATTATAAAAGGTCTGGGTATCTCACAATATCCAGCTGGATTCTGCAGATTTTTTTGGGCAACTGAAATATTGAGGATCATGCGTTACACGACTTCCAAATTGAACTCACTAAACTTGCGCGAACACACATGTTCTGTTACTAGGAGACACAAATTAATAAACATGGCGCAGCGTACTGCTGCTGCTGTTTTCACAGCCATTTTTGCTGACACAGTAAAGAAGCAACAGTTAAACATAGTTAAGTGAGGGTCATTGAAATAAAGAAGTCATTAGTTGAATAGTTTTTAGGGGTCTGTGTTTCATCATGTTTGTGTCATTCGATTGTGCTCATGCCTTAAACCCAGTTTCCTTAAAAAGCTAGGCCACATGTAAGTGTCTTTTTGCCTTTTTTCTTTTTTTTACATGCTATATTGTCTTCTTTCATGCTCTCAGTTTTCATTGGAAATTTGATTTGAGGCTGAAATTGGGGGGTGCGGGGAGTCTTGCAGTATAACCCTGGCCTAAGACATACATGCAAAACTTTTGGCAATCTTTTGGCAAAAAAATTGGAATGATCAACATGCCTTTCTCGTGAATTATGTAGATTTAAAGAATTTTTCATTTTAGGAGGAGGGTATCTCCTGCCAGCAGAGAATTCTAAGAGATAATCTCTTCTTTCCTCCAAATATAGCACAGTAGTCTTTGAGAGTCATTATTCAGCCAAACCACAGATATACTATTCAGTTTTAATAGGCCAGTCAGAACTAAGATAACGGTACCGGAAGATGAAACAAGGGCCACAAATCGTAAGCTGTGAAGTTCATCTTCAGTTTTTTTCTTCAGTAGCTTTTGAATGGTGGGCAAAAAGGTTAATATGTGTAAATGATCGTTTTTAGCATCCAAAACAATCAGCTTTCAAATTTAGTTTTCATCTGGAACCGATGCAGAACACATTAATTTCTATGAACTGCCAAAACTGCTATGAGCGCTTAGCAACTGTCTATGAATTATATAGCAAATGGCAATCATCAGGGTCCAAGCATTGTTTCGCCTAGAAACAGTGCCTCCAGACCCTGCTACATGAGATTGATTTCTGAACTTCTCAACCTTTTCACGGCTCCAATTTATAATAGCACCTTTTGTATGGTAATATGTGGTCAGTTTCATATCACTTACAGTTTTCCAAACATATGTGGATGAGAAAAGGGTGTTTACTATAGTGCCTCTCATCTTCCTGCTAAAACTGACCGTTGACAGGATGCTCTTGCCCAACATTTTATCACATTTCCTGTTTCAGAATAGTGAGGTTAGACTAACTGTGTGACTGAATTGTTTGTCATATTTTAGATCTGTACAGACTCACTGACGAGGTGCTAGGGCAAGGGGCCTATGCTAAAGTCCAGTGCTGTGTGAGCCTACAGAATGGCAGTGAGTATGCTGTAAAGGTGAGACATCACACTAGTGTCCTAAAATCTATTAACATGTCCGAGTAGTGCTGAAGATGAAGTAATACTTGCAGTGTCAGGATTTTTCAGTAATGTATCACTGTGTTTGGGCTCAAAAGATCATTGAGAAGATTGCTGGCCACAGTCGGAGCAGGGTGTTTAGAGAGGTGGAGACGTTATATCAGTGCCAAGGAAATAAGTAAGATCTTTTTTCTAACATCCTTCTCTTATGCTTATAAAATAGCTCTACTAATTTAACATTGTAGGATGGGCTTGAAGGGAAATTTCACAAAACTTTCAAAATTGCCACATAATTCAGTTGTTGAGATGTAAACAAATGAATTCAGAGTGGTTTGGTTGAGAAATGGTATACTAAAGAAACTTATCGACTGATCAATGTCTTTACAGTGGTACTAATAGGAACAGGAGGATATGTCATGTCTGCAAGCAAATATAGTCATTTTACTGTCCAAAATCATTAGTGTTTTTTTGTAATATTAGTAATGGTGAAATAGTGGTAAATCAGCAAAAAATAAGGTTTCTGTGTCTAACAGTGTCCAGTATCTGATTCCTATCACCACCACTGTAAACAAGAGTCTGTAGGCTTCTCTAAAAAGGAGCATGCTTACAGTGATGGTGATGGGAACCAGGGGTTGTGATGTCTGCCACACAGATATAGCCATTTTATTTATTATTCATAATGAACTGTAAAATAACTTAAGTTCTCTTTGTCTTTGTGTAGTTTTGATAATGGTAGAATAGTGATAAATACCCATTTTTTTCTTTCAATATGCTATTACATGTACTTCTCCACCTTGAATGTGTTTTAAAAATAAATTCTACGCCAAAACATTGTCTCTAAACTATCATAAAACAATGTTTCAATCATCAGGCAACATTCATAAGGGCCCATTTCATTTCAGACGTTCATAATGGTTAATTTCCTATCAAAACACTGAATTACTTTACATCTTGATTTGATTCTGCAGAGATAATTATGAAAAATCAGTGGAATTCCCCTTTAATGGACAGGCTCACTTAGCAAGACCCCTCTGTGTTTCACTACAGAAATATTCTGGAACTCATTCAGTTCTTCGAAGACGATAGCCGCTTCTATTTGGTGTTTGAGAAGCTGAATGGAGGTACACATTTCTGTAACATTGATCAGTCCAGATTTTCTGTAAGCTGCAGTTTCTTTCTGTTTCTGTTTCTCTCCTTTATTTCTACTTGCTCACTTCCTCAGGCTCCATTCTAACACACATTCAAAGGAGGAAGCACTTTGATGAAAGGGAAGCCAGTCGCGTTGTCAGGGACATAGCTCAAGCTCTTGACTTCCTGCACACCAAAGGTACTGTTTCCACTTTCTGCTCATCTTTTAAGAATGGCTGAAAAAGGAATGTGTTTAGTCAGTAATATACCTATTCTGTCCTATAGGAATTGCTCACCGGGATCTGAAACCTGAAAACATCCTGTGTGTAGATGCTGACAAGGTACAGTTTTGTTGCACTAAAATGGCCTAACAGGGGTTACAATATGTATATTTAATATCAAGATGTCAATAGGGCTTGCCTCAATAATTAGTTGAAATATCTGTTCGTATTTGGAAACTTTGTCTTTTTTAAGCCACAAAAACTGTTATAAATTTCATCAACAGAGGCTTTTAGATAGAACAGTGTTTGCTAATATATGGAGTGTTAAAAAGAAATAAATTATAGCTGGTTTAGTTGAATGCATTATTAATTCAAAGCACAACAAACTGCACCTCTTTCCATGCTGCCATTGAAGCTGAAAGAGCAAAGATGCCTCAAAAAGAAATTGTGTGTAGGTGCATTTTAAATCGCATCGTACAATAATAAACTGTTCAGTACAAAATTAGCAATAAGAGGTTTGTATACCATGGAGGCACCACATATATCTGAGTGATCTCAAATATTCAAGTATAGTGATCCTTATCCAAGTACTGCTATCTGTCCATTCCACACTGCGTCTGACTCCGTCTTGTAATCCCTTCAGACGAGAATATCATTTCTTTTTCCTCTTTCTTTTCCAATTAAACAGTTTTACTGAAGGTTTCAAATGTGACAGCACAAACTGCAGGTCTGTTTACTGTGATAGATCAAACACAAGTTGTTACAGCTCTAGCAATAGTTACATTTGCATCAAAAAGGTTTTTTGACGAAAAATGAAGTAACACTTTAAAAAGTTTGTTGATGTCAATGGAAGTTGTCTGTAATATTTTATGAAAGTCAACAAGACTTTTTCGATCAATTTTACAGAAAAAAATATTTATCAGTACTAGATATGTTGCGAAAGTCTACTTTGGAAACGTGTTTTTTTGTTTTGTTTTGTTTTGTCTTTGAGAAAAAGAACGTTTTTACAAATACGTTTAGTGTTGTGTGACATTTCATCCACATGCTTCTTACAACAAAGACAAACACAAATAACATAGCAGAGCTGGATTGAGGAAGAGAAAAACATTTTAAATATCTCTTTTTTAACAGTTGCAAATAAAACAAAACTGTCTAATTCAATACAAGTGAATATGTACATACATCAACTTCATTACAAACATGTCAGTATTTGTAGGATCTTCAAGTATCGTCAAAACATTAAGGGCGACAGGCTGACAGTACTTATCTCACGTTTGTGTGTAGGTGTCTCCTGTGAAGATCTGTGATTTTGACCTGGGCAGTGGAGTGAAGTTGAGCAGTGCCTGTACTCCCATAACCACGCCGGAACTTACCACACCGGTACATACGCATACACACATTTGCTGACCCTGACACTTGAGACTGGAACTATTTTAGGCTTGCCACGGTCTTGAAATTGTTGAATTTTTTTAGTTACATACATGAGAGGCTAAAGCAAGAATGTTCAGGTTATTTATTACTCTAGGGATTAGACAAGCATGTGTGAAACCATTATTAAAAGACTACATTTTGGCAACTAAACTCATATTTAACTTGATGTATAATAAATGAGGTTTTCGAAAACATAGGAAGGGCATATTTCATTGCTGGCTTTTTAAAAGGATAGCTGAAGGAAATGAACATCCATTACCAAAAAGAACACAATAACACACTTCAATCTGTCCTTGCAGGAATATAAAACCTCTATGCAGATGGGTGTACTTTTCAGTGTACTTTATCACATTTGTTGAAGTTGCCAGGAAGCTTTATTTGATTATATGTTTTAAAAGATGAACTGAGGTTTGTCATTTCTTATTCACTGATTAAAAGGGGGGTTCACCAAAAGAGTAGGAACACAGCTTGGTAATTAATGCCTAAAATTATACCCTTGGTCTTTAAAAGATTGATTAAGGCAAAAATAGCACAAATGTAAACAGATGCATGTGAACTACTTATTTTAAATTGTATCTGTAGAACAGCTGTTTCAAGAACACAGATTTTGTATAGCAATAGAAAGTCTTCTTAACTCTAATTTAGTAAGTGTGATAGAGTTTAACGTTACTTTAATGTTTGTAATCATTAAATCATATTAATGAGATTTGAGATCATCTTTCTTTGAAATTGAAACATAATTAGGAAAAACATTCTTAAAGGGCCCATATTTCCTAACTTTTTGAAATTAGGTTTGATGTTTGATGTAGTGTGTAACAGGGGTGGGAATCTCTAGGCACCTCACGATTTGATTTGATTACGATTGAGAGGGCTGTGATGCGATTATAAAACGATTATCGATGCATCTTGATGCATCTTTTTTTTCTGTACAGGATTTCTTTTTTCTCACTGTGTGAGGACTTGGTACTTTCAAAACAAAGTATTTGTAATGATCCATAACGAATTTACTTCCAGTATCTTTAATTAATAAAACAAATAGAAGTGATGTGGCAAGTGAACTAGAAGGCTCTCATTCACTGCTCTTTTTTGGAGCGCATGAGACGCTGCTGCCACTCATCTGATAAATTGCACTGTTACGGTGACATGAGATCCAGTGGCAGTTGGTGTCCATGCAGCACATTACAGCCGTCCTACCCGTTTGCTTTTATATTTTTTTGATTTTTTAACTTCAGTTTTGGTCTCGTCGGGGATCGCTGTGTCAGTAAAATATCTCTGAGACGGGACGCTGTATCTCGGCTCCAAAGTGTGCAACATAGCGTGAAAGCCTGACTGAGAACTGGCGTGCAGATTGCAGGTCACATAACAAGCAGTCTCGACTGGCTAGTAGCTAATGAAAAGGTGAGAAGAGAGATTTAAGATGAACATTTGGAGACGAATGGACTTATTCGCATTTATAAGCAGCGCAGTTGGTTTCCTGGAACGTTAAACCTGCAATGAGAGACTGTCAAACTCTAAAAAGCTGCGAAGATTAAGTCAGCTTCTCTTTTGAATTTCCCCGTTCCACCTTAAATGGTGCCGCATTTACATTATGGCACCTCAGGAAGAATTTAAGGTGGAATGGAAAAATTCGAACAAGAAGCTGGAGAATGAGAAGCGACTTCAGCCACGTAAAACAGTTGAACGTTGAGAGACATTTTACAAGAAACTGTTCTATTTTTGAGGAAACGTGTTCTGGCAGAGATGGGAGGAAAGTGGCTATTAAAGCTTAAAGCAGAGCGAAGTCAGTCTGCGTTTTTGTTTATATTGTTTAGCCTTTACTAGGATATTAACACATACTGAGACATACTGGACATTAAATGTTGCGGCTCCCAAGGTAGTTTGATTTTTGTTGAAAGGACAAAATGGGTCTTCTTAAAATTTGGGTTGTCTACTCCTGACCTAACGTAGCTTTTAATGCAGAGATTTCACACTCATTCCACACTTCCGAATTCCACCTTTTGCGTTCCGTCAACATTACGTTATTAATTAAAATTTAGAAAATCGATTTTTGGCATTTGTGAATCGATTAACAATCGTCCACGTCCGCATCGCGATGCTTCTATGAATCGATTTTTTTCCCCCCATCCCTAGTATGTAAACATTGTCAAAATTTTCTGTACTGTTTGGTCCATACAGTCCATTTGTGAAAACTAAACTGCAGAAACAACCTGTTTCGAATTGATAGTTTTTGTGATGTCACAAAACATATTTTAATAAATCCATCTATTCAGCCTACAGCAGTCCCGCTCATTCACGCTGAAATTGTAAGGAGTGTTTCAGCCTGGACTACTTTTTGAATAAGCTGTAATACAGAACAGCCAATCAGAGCAGGGCTTATCTACATATGTCAGACTTAAAGGGATAAAGAGAGAATGATCATGTAAAATTAATTTATGGCTGTTTTTTGGAAAATAAACCAGACAAATATTATAATGGAACCTCAGAGAATAAAATAAAATACGAAAAAAATTAGAATTTTTTTTTAAGGTCTTGCTTATCTTGTTCTGTTGCCACCAAAGGCTTAGATAACTATTTTTGGTGTCTCTCCCCTTTAAAGTAAGAGTAGGAGGAGCTGGTCCTATGTCAGAATTAAATCCAGTTAATTGGTAAAATCTTTAATCCTTAATTAACCTTTAAAGTGAAAGTGATATGAGTGATTTGAGATGTTTGAAACAACTGGGCCATCTCACCGTAGTGTGGTTCAGCTGAGTACATGGCTCCAGAGGTGGTGGAGGTTTTTACAGACGAGGCCTCATTCTATGACAAACGATGTGATCTCTGGAGCCTGGGGGTCATCCTCTACATCCTGCTTAGTGGCAGTCCGCCTTTCACTGGACACTGTGGCACTGACTGTGGCTGGGAGCGAGGGGAAACCTGCCGTGCCTGCCAGGTGAGATGCCATGTCTGTGCGTATCTATGCACTGCATAAATCATTCAACTGCATGTACATATGTGGCATATACAAAAGATGCCTTGCCTTCGGCTCAGTTCTTGTATAGTCCGAACTTCAGTGAGGTTCAGTGAGGAACTGCTTGTCCATGTGAAATTTAAAGCAGTCGTTTGTCCTATGCGCAGAACAACCTGTTTGAGCGGATCCAGGAGGGAAAGTATGAATTTGGTGATCGGGACTGGGCCCATATCTCAGACAGTGCCAAAGACCTGATCTCCCGGCTGCTGGTGCGAGACGCCATGCTGAGGCTAAGTGCAGCACAAGTCCTGCAGCACCCATGGGTGCAGGGGGTGAGGCTGCTGCTCCTTCACTTACTCAGTTTACTGTATCAACCTGTTAATAAAAGATAAGAAACTTTATTGATCCTCAGGTGGAAAATGCAGTTGTTCTAGAGTAGCAGTGTGTATAGTACAATGTACATACACATTACAGAAAGTTAAAATATGAATGAGTGTGTATGTATATTAAATTTACAGTGGAGACAACATTAAAAGTGTGGTGCGTTTCCAAAACTCTGGTGAGTTTTAGAATCTTGAAAAATTTGAAACAAAGACAAGTCATGACACAATTAAGAAAAAATATTCCAAATTCTGCACTTTTTCTAGGTGATTATTCAAACTGAAGCATATTTATGAAATTAATTTTGAAATGATTTTAAGGCCTTTGTCCAAAAAAGATTCATTTATTTTTTAAGCCTTATTCCTTCTATAGACACACATGTTCAGATAACTCTGGATTTGATCTACTGATCAGAGGCTTTTGTGCAAACATTTGGAGTCCATGCCAGCTTGCGTGCATGTTGTCATTAAAGTCCAAGGGGGACATACCAAATACTAAGAAATGCTCAAATTCATGTAAACATTCAAAGATTCTACTTTTCACTTAAATTATTTTGGTGATAATATAATTTGTAATGAAAAACTTTGTATTAATTTAGACAGTAGTGAAAAATAGACGATTTATTTAGCACAGTGCATCATGCATAATTATAATGATCGTGCCTCCATTAGCCATATTATTTGAGATCATTTATGTTGTTTTGTGCATTTTCTTTCCTTATAGAATGCTCCAGAAAGAAGTCTTCCAACTCCACATGTCTTACAAAGGTATTTATATTATTTATTTTTAATGGTTATCTTAAATTGAGTAGGTCTGATTGTCTGGGTTGGTTCTAGGGGTTGGTGATATGTCAGAAACAACATTATGATACATTTTCATGATACAAAGGTTGTTGAGTGGTGGTACTTTTAAAAATACTATCCAAAACTATAAACACAATGATTTTGATTCAATGTTTTGCATGCTGCACAGAACTAAATTTAATCAGACAGGCCTAATTTTGTTCTCATTGCAATGAAGCATTGCTTAGAGGTTATTTACGTTCTGTTCTGTACTGACAATATTCACAATATGCTCCGAAAAGTGATGTAAATACCGCATATCGCCCACTCCTGGTTGCCATCACACTTCATTTTAAATATCTCTGATTTGTAACTGGTTGTTTCCGTCTGATTGCTAGGAAGTTGAGCACTAAGGACCTGACTCAGTTCGCGGCAGAGGCCATGGCCTTTAACAGGCAGCTGTCGCAGCAGGATGAACAGCAGGATGACAGTGGGGCCATCATGTGCTCCATGAGACTCTCGCCGCCCTCCAACTCCAGGCTGGCCCGACGCAGAGCACAGTCCCTCGCGCTCCGCAGCACTAGCCAGTACCTAGCCACTGCGCAGGTGCCGGAGTAAGCCCATACACTATATAAACACATGTTGTATGCTTAACACCTTTTTTCAGCTCAAGTGCCCACTCAAAAGCCAGCATTGTTGAGTACTTGCTGCATTTGGGCTTGAGTGACGTGATGATTACATATAAATACACACACAAACACACATTTGCGCAGCCTACACACAATGTGCTCAGTACCAGCTGTGAGCAGATGGCAGTGGAGGTTACGTTAACCCAAAAAGTAAATACCTACTATACCTACTTCAGTATTTTCCACACTGGCTAAGGGTTAATGCAGTTCTGCAATTCACCATTTAGCATAGATGTAGAGGATAAATTGAAAAAGTAATATAACCTGAACATGCTTCTTCAGGTAGGCTTTGTAAGTCATGTACAGCCGAGATGTACCATACATGATTGAAGCTGATTTCCGTATATTTAAGTATTTATTACCAAATATTTGTGGCTGAAAGTTTATTTTAGCCAACTACAGAGGTGCTTCAATAGAAAGGGAAAAGACTTATCTTGATTTTAATATAGCTACTAAAATGGTTCTTGGTTTACTTTGTCTTTGTTTTTGTTTTTTTGTTTTTTTTAGATTTACCATTTTAAAATGTCGGCCCTTTTAGAAAATGTTTTATAAAGCACTGTCTTTTTGTTGCACGTTTGATTGCTTTTCCCATTTTGTGGTGTTTTGTTTTGTGGTTTAAACAATGTTTCAGGTTAGGACTACGATTCTGCCCAGTAATTCTTAACAGCCAATGTGAACAACATTGTAATGACATTTGAGACTTAATGCATGACACCATACTGCCTTATTGCATTAACATACAATGGGAAAAAGTGGTTACTGGGCCTTCATATCCATATTAATTATGTCTTACCTCAAATACAGTTTGCACATTGTTTTTGCACATTTTTACTGCAAGCAGGGGTCTCTGCAGTGTTCTACCAGCAAGTAACATGCTTTTTGTACAATACTGCTTGTCAAAGTTTGAGAACTAAAAGTTAATTATTCACTTGTAAAGGTCAGTTCGCGTTGCACAGTTGTATGTTTTTATTTTTTTTCTTCTTCTATGAATTGTGTTCTGCACATCTATTTTTTCACTGTTTATAGAGTTTTTAATTTTAGTCTGTATTTTTTTAATGGTCTTCAATAGAGAATTCATCTCATGAACAAAACAAACTCATTATTGTGTCCTGAAAAAAATGGGGGAGTTAAATCCTTCTGCTGCTAAGCTGCAGTACTGTGAAAAAGTCAGAAGTCACCCTTCATATATTTCATTTCCAGTCAAAACTGTCAAAACAGTACAGTACAAGTTATTCATTTTTCAGGAGACATTTCTGAGGAGACTGAATATAAGATAATCCAGTGGCATAAGGAAGGGCAGAGTCAAAAGAAAGTAAGTGGGGGAAAAAAACAGACGTTTTCAAGTTCTAAAAAAATGATTAAATGGGATTTCTAACTACCATGTAAGACCTGGTAGACCACCAAAACTGTCCCGTCAGATAAACTGTACTCAAAGCTGTCATCTTTCAGAGACAGGAGAAAATTAAGCTCCACTCTTGCTTCAAATCTAAAAAAATCCATGTGTTTCTGTCTATCCTTTCACTGTGAGAAGACAACACAGTCAAGAAGCAATTACTGGGAAAAGGAAACTGACAAACAAGAAAAAGGCACTTGACAGCTGAGATGTGGAGTAGGAAATCCCAGACCTCAGCATCACTGAATGTGTTGGGATTACTTGGATCTTGAAAATCAGAAAATGCAACCAAGTTCTATGACTGAACTTTGTAGAAGTGGAAAAATATTCCTGTAGAAAAGCTGAAAGCGAGTCTTCTAAAATGAATGGAAGCTGTAGTCACTGCAACGGGTGGCACACTAAATTTGACACTGAATATTTTGATATTGAAGCTTCTGTGCAATTCTTTGACTTTTGCATAGTACTGTACGTAACTGCTGAAGTGGTTTTGCCATGGGAGCACTGGAACATGCTCTTTTTCCCTATCACAAACTAATAGGATCTCTGTTCCATTCATATAAATACAGTGTATCCTTAACACTCAGTAATGAGTCTACATTCATTATTAATAAGTCACTCAGGCAAGAGGAGTGTTAAGTTTACAAGAGGATAATATCAGTTTAAAAATTAATGCTTCAAATTTGGCTGACTGAAAGCCCTAAAGTGCTGAGCTGTCCTGCCTTTTGCCAGTGGTGTCACTAGAGGGCACCATGTCTTCTTGCATTTTATTCTCTTGTGTTCACAGTTCATGAGACACCAAACGGGCTGTCCTATTCGTATTTCAACCAGTGACCGGTCTCCTTCTTTATTATGTCTCTGGAGAAACTGGATGGATGGGTTGATGAGTTGTTTAAATTTGGTTGTAAATGTAAAAGAGGGTGTTTTACATTTTTAATTGAGAAAAAAATACTGAGTAAAATACCATGATAAATAAACCAGGCATTTGCTCTGAAATTATATGAAAGAGTATTGCTTTGAGCTCGATTCTAAAGCGCTTCTGTTGAAGCAGCACATACATATCCTAACACTACCTTCCTCTACCTCTGTAAAATAATCGAATTGTAAGTTGTTGGGTAATTTACCACAGCATGGTTGAAATAAATGCATGAAAAACATCTATTCATAATTTCTGTGATGCAATATATCCTAAACACTAAAAAGAAAAGACCACACATTGAATTTCAAAAGTAAAATAGATTACAAAATTGAATAAGAAAAATATTTTTCAGGATTACAGGAACATGAAAAAGGAAACATAATTAAAAGAATGGAAAAAAAAATTAAGATAAACAGTCTCCACTGGTCACCACATTCACATAAACTCACATGTAAAGGCTTAACTAAGACAAAAGCTTAAAAGAAAATCAGAAAGCACCAGCAGGTGTCACACAGACTTGGTCAAAGCAGTTATAGTTTTATATGTAAAATGCACATTCTACTCATACAATTGCTCATTCATTACAAATCAAAAGTATTATAATGCAGACTTGGATTGGTTCTGAAACAAACTGAACACAGTGCCATTGGTAAGATTCAGTCCATAAAGACAGTGTCCCTCATGCACATCTTAATGACATCAGCGAGAGTCACTCTCAGTCAGGCCCAAGGCCTTGAAGTTTCCCAAATGGTCAACTTTCATCCAGATAAGCGATTATGGAAATACTGTTCCAACTCCTGTACCGTAGACTGCCTCCATGTCTGGTAGGATAGATTGGAGATGGGTTTTGTTTCATGTCACAGTATCATTCTCAAGGAGCATGTCTTAAGCCTCACAGAGCCACAAAACCCAAAGAACTAGCTGTAAGAAATATATTCCTAAGAAAATATATTAAAAAGATCTACATGATCTACATCTCTTTACTCTGGATAAGAGTAAAGGTCTGGCAAATGTCTTAATTGTAAATGTGTGAAAAGCAGATCCTTTCATTTTTTTTTTTTATAAAAAGTATGGCAAATCAGTGTGAGGCTGTCTTTAAGACTAGAGCATGGGTGCACAGCCCTGTTTGGTAGTTATCTCCTCAAACACTCACACTAAACCTGGTGATTTAAAAATGAGTTGGATGTGTTGAGTGTGTTTAGCAGGGAAGTCACTAAACTGTGCTGGACATCGGCCCTCCAGGAATGGAGTTGTGCCCCCTGGACTAGAGGACCTACAAAATGATAAACACTATATGTTAGTGTGTATTTCCTACTTTTTTATTATCCCGAAAACAACCTTTGAGCAGTTCTGTTTGACAGTGTGGTGTTTAACAGCGTTGCGTAGGTTGGATTGTGTTGCTGGCATATCCATTATTGTTGTGGTTTTCTTCCGTTAAGTGAACAGACAGGGTAAACACATCAAAAACAGTTGCTAAACATCAGAGCATGACACGTACGTGTGAGTGCTTGTTTTTCAACTTGTTGTATTTAACCCTAGCTAAGTAATCAGTTTACACTGGGCTTAATATTAACATATGCTATTTACTATATTTCTTTTTGGCCAATGCTGTTCTTGTTTTTCTGCCATGTTATGACACTAATTTGAAGACAGCTTATTTCCTCACCCCATTATATCTCAGACATTGTTCACTAATGTATTGCTTTTCCCAGTTGCCATAGATACCTCATCCCCATAGCAACTAAGCAGGCCTTTCTTTGGTAGCCAGAACATCCAACAATCACTAGAAGTTTTTCCTCATAATCCAGATGGCAAGGTGACACAACCACTTTGTTTCTCTCTTTGCGAGAAGTAGGCCACTTTAAAGTCATAGATCTGTATATTAGGGATGTGTAAAGAGCACATGTGGTAAGCTCCAGTCCTTGCAGGTCAAAACACTGCAGACTTTAGCATGCCTGCCTCATTAAACACACCTGATTCAGCTCATCGGCTAATTAGCAAGGCCTTTATGAACTGAATGAACTGAGTGTTAGATGAGGGTAATCGCTAATATCTGCAGCACTTTGGCCTGGAAGGTCCCCAGTTTGACATGCCTGTTATGGAGACTCAATATATTACAGACATGCCTGCATACATACATGTCTGTTTTTGAAAGCTGCTGGAGAAAACTATACGTCAGCTGCAATGATTAATACAAGTGTGGGGCCATACATTAAAATGGCTGTGGACAAAAGCTGTTGGACAGAACAGAGACTCGCAGGTACAGCTGTTTTCACTTATAATAGCATTATTTTATCAATTTGTCAGTGTGACAGTTTACTGCTAGATTATTAACTTTGGTGCCTGAGCCTAAAAAATAATGATGTTTGATTTCTGAAAGTCTCTTTAAGGGAGTCAAACAGTTTTTCAAGTACAAGTGAATGAAAAAGATAAACTAACCTGTTTTCTATGCCTTTGTTTAGACAAGGCATGTATCATTATTTGACTAAACTGTCAATCTGACATGCAGTACTGTGCAAAAGTCAGAGACCACCCTTCATTTATTTAATTTCCAATCAGAACAGCCACTAAGTCCTTCTTCAGCTTGAATAAAAAAATAGAAAACATACTTCACCCTTTACATGACCAGGGCCTGCCAGTGTTCCCAAAGTTTGATTACAAACTTTTATAACCTATAAATAACTGAGTAACCAGTTTGCATTAAAGTCCTTGTAGTTACTGAATAATAGGCCTTAGTATGCATTAAGCCTGGAATTTTAGGGGTTAACCGAAAATTACACAGAAGCCTCAACTATTTATAATCTTACATTTTTCCAAATTTTGTTTGCTCACCCTTTGCCTTTATTGGGATTCTTGCTCTTAGTTTTCAAAGAAATCTGCAAGGATATTTTTCCTCACATCCAAAGTTTAGTCGTAGAGGTTGGTTGCATTTTCTGCCTCTCACAATCCAAGAAATTCCAAACACATTCACTGATGTTGAGGTTTTGGCTCTGGGATAGTCGGTCCATTATTCTGAGAACTCCAGCAGCTTCTTTGTTTGATTTGCAATTTTTCTTCTTTTTGTCTGAATTCAACCTGGACTTCTCAGGAAAGTCAATCTCCAAGTGCAGACTTTTTGTACTTTTTAGTGCCCATTGACAGGCATTCCAAGTGGTTTGAAGTATTGCACATGATGTCCCTGGATTGATGTACTCTATGGTCTACATGCAGTTTTAAGAATAAAATTAGGTGCACTCTAGTACCATCCAGCTTCAAAAGGGATCACAGAAAGGTCTGTTCAAACACTCAAATGATCACTTGTGAAAAATGTTCTGGAGGATGGAAGAAAGTCTTCTCTCTTGGTCTAAGCATTATCTTATGTCTTAGCCAAGTTCTGCATATGTACCAGAGTACCAATAATACAGTAACAGGCTAGACTCCTTTGGAACCATTCTCTGAAACTCATAGTTTAAAAACAAGCCAACTGAGCAGGAACAAGTGCAAATTTGGAATTTTAGAGAAGAGAAGCAGAAATGGACACAGGTACCAGGTTTCCAGAGGCTGAGGTCTGTCACCCACCTCACTGAGGGTGTGCTTAGAAAACTCACAGTGCCCGTGGATCACCATGGAGAGGTGCAACACTGGACACCTCACCTGAGGAGAGAGAACTAATCAGGGAAGTATGATTTTAAGATTTCTACACGAAAGCTGTATTCCCAAGCAACCATCATGCCAGTGGTGAACATCAACAAGAGGGATCAACAAGACAACTGATATATATGACACTAGTGTTCCCAAGGGGTATCATAAAGGAAACTCCATAGTGCCTGGGATGCATTTATAGAGTTCCTATATGGGACTTGTGCTATAAACAAAATAAAAGTTTTTATTTCATATGTTCATTTGCAAGAAAACCTCTTAAGAAGTAAGGACAAATAAGAAGACACTGAAAAAGAAAATGTAAAAATCCACAATGTTTCATAGTTGTTATCCTGAGGTTTATTGTAAAATTGGCTATGAATTTTTTGCTTGAATTGGACTTCCCATAAGTACAAAGTGACAGGGCCTTCATTCAAAACCATTAGAACCACTAGCCAACTGTGTTTGCACACAGAGGTATTAGACCCTGGTTAACCTCCAGCCCACGACCGCCCCCACTGAATTATCTCTACTGAATGAAACTAGTGATTAATCCTTATGTGTGTGCACGTGAGAGGGTGATGTTTATGACACGCATGCAGTCGCATGAAACATAAGGAGTCACCAAATCATACTACCTAAATATGTAGAAAGTAAAGCATTTATAATGGTGAAGCAATGTTTTCACCACCACCACCAAGGATAGATCAACTACACTCTTTAAAAAGATGATACTTAAAGGATTCTTTAGTAAAGACAATGGTTCCCTATGGCAACAAAAAGGGTTCTGCTTTTGTAATGATGTCAACCTTTTCAAAAAAGTTCCATGTAGAACAATATACAATAGATTCTCCATCAATCTAAAGAACAATGTCACCATGCAAAGAACCCTTCAAGCATGCAGATTGTTCTTGGGGTGTTCATGGTTCTATATAGAACCACTGTCTTTACTATGGAACCCTTGATGCGTAAGCTTAAACTTGGCTGAGTAAGCAAGAAAATACGGCGTTGTAAGACAGACCCCTGGTTGCAGAATGCTGAAAAAGTTATCAGTAATTATTAGTGGAAATTATTAGAAGCCCAGACAAGCACCCAATCATTAGCAATATACAAATTAAACCAGTCATACATTTATATAATTTAGACAGCTTGTGGCAGTCATTGTTATGTCAGCCTTTAATTCTAGAGTACATCAGCTAACAAGATGAGGAGGCCCCAAATAATTCTGCTTAGGGCCCCCAAAAGGCTAGATCCAGCCCTGCAGGCACATGCAATTGAGGACCACAGGACAACAAGTGCGCCGAATGGGACAGGGCTGCACTAAAGGTCATATACAACACATTCTCAATCAGTCTGAAGAACCATTTCACCATGCAAAGGGTTCTTTGAGTGTTCATGGTTCCATATAGAACCATTTTCTTTACTAAAGAACCCTTGAATCTTTTTCAAGAGTACGAAAGGGCTGTACAGGTACATTTTTCATTCAACAATGTAAATGTATCTTTAAATGTACAACAATGGTTTTAAGGTCTAATTTCGATCCTTCAGTAAGTTTTTCCCAGGTCAAAGGCACATAGCTTTTCATAACCTTGTTCTAAAACAGAACAATAAAATAAAAAGGCTGGAGACAAGACAGGGTGTGTAGAGTCAATATAACTTGAACTGCAATGTTTTAAAGGACAATTATGTTACCTAACTAAAGGTACTAAAGATGCACCTATGAGCGTTCCAGCCCAGTGACAGTTTAGGACCTTTTTTTCTGAGAGTGATCAAGCGGTCCTACTGCGCAAATCATTAGTATTATGTGGTAACTTAATGTTTCAAATGTTTTATTGTGATTTTAATGTTAATTCAGTATAGACACAGCTTAATATTACTACTTACTACTTAAGGTGATTCAGGCTATCAAAATATCCTAATTAATCTTTTGGTGGTAACGTTTTCTGATAGGGTGATTTAGATATTTTTGATAAGGTGATTTAGGCTATGAACATATCCTACTTGCAGTTTTACGTAGAACGCTACCTATAAATATGTGATGTGGTAGGACATATCGACAAGCACAATACAAATCCTCAGCCTGCTGCTGAAAAAAAAGGCTTCAAGTTTACTGGCCAGTCAAGACCCTCCCTCACAATCTCACCCAATAGAACTACATAATCGACATTAGCCTGTCTTCCATGGCCTGTACGTGGAGCCATAGACCAGTGAAGCTGTGTCGTCATTCTGTAGTCAGCGCCATATAGGGAACTCTGGGTCTAAAAGGAATTTCTCTATGTGAAAAAATGAATGGAGTTTTCGAAAATTGCCTCTGTCACATCCTGTGGTACTCAGAATGTTCCAAAGCTGATGGAACATTTTGTCCTATGAGCATTTTTCTCTTGAATATCACCGAATCCTCTGAATTACGTGGTTAAAGAGTCGAAATATGAATACTGCTACATGTGTGCTAATGATGCTACGCACTGAATTTATGTAATTAGACTGGCAATCACCATCAGCTAACAAGATGAGGGGCCCCAGATAATCCTGTTTAGGAACAGACGCTACTTTTCTTGTTCGCCAGCTTCTTAGGCAGTGTAAATGACACAGTCACCTCTTTTAATACTCTACTGGTCATCCTTGAAAAAGACTGACAAAATACAAAATGATACGACCACCATAGAGTGGTCCTACCAAGCATGTGTATATCATTAGCACAGCTTAGTAGCTCTGTGTTTTAAACGTTTCATTGTGTTCTTAGCTTAATATTACAACTTATCCCTTCATAAGCTGATTTATCAACCCTAATTGTTCCTTTAATGCTGGCGACATTTTCTGATAAGGACATTTGCCAGCTTCGAGTTCACATTTTCCCGTTACACTTTAAATGAAGGAGCAGTTACATTCTGGGGCCTGAGGCATTATAATAATAACTGCTGCACCATTTAAGATGGAATGGTAAAATTCGAACAAGAAGCTGGCGAAGCTGACTTCAGCTTTGTAGTTTTAATGCTGGAATCACGCACGACAATAAGTCTTGTAGCACTATTCTCGCCCCTTTTAGCACCATTCTCATCCCTTGGCACCCCCTTGCGACGCCAGGTTAAGAACCGTTAAGAACCCCTCGGCTAACCGATTTTAATTGAGATTGAGAACGCCACAAAATGTTAAAAACTCACTCTGTTGGGAGAGAATCATTGTGTTGGCTTCAGACTAGCTATAGCAAGCTTGCGCTGTTTCTCCTCACCTGTATTGCGGCAGGCCCCGCCTTCTGCGCGTGTGTATGAATTACCAGCCAATCCTATCACAGGTGGCGGGAGAATACCAGCCAATCCTAGACCAGGAAGGCGGACTCTGTCCGAAAACGGGTGGAAGAAAACAACGTGTTGAACGAAGCCGCAACATGGTGTGACTCTCTGGGACCTGAAGCGTTCTCTACTTATACGACCACTCTAGGTGGGCTCAGTTTCCTCAGCGATTTCTTCATCGATTTTCTAAAGCTGGAATAATCAACATTTTTGCCAACTTGTCTGGTGAGTGGAAATCTTCTGTTCTCGACGCATCTTCTTTTGTAATGGACAGTGAATGAGGTCGTATGAATCGTTTTTGAGCCTAGTGGGTAGATGAGTTTTTAAACGCGAGACTGTAGTCTTTACTTTTGGGATACGTTTAGAAGATGTTATAACTTTGTAACTGATGGGGAGCTGTGTTAAAGTTATAAGATGCCTAGCTGAATGAGGCCATTGTAAATTAGTTTAACTTTTCTGATTATGAAGCTCAGCCTAATAATACGAGACTATGAGAACAGGCAGTCATGATGGTATTATCATCTTCTATCATGATGACTACGTTTTCCACAGTTTTCACTGTTAAAACCCCACAGACTATAGTTGCTTCTGAATTTCATCTGGTTGTCTTTTTTTATATAGGTCGATTTTCATCACACATACACAGATAATTCATGCTTTAATCCTCAATTTGCTTCTGTGTTTTTCACATCCAACCCTGTTTTTTTAGCAGCTGGTGGTCCTGATTTTTCCTTTTCCTTCTTGTTAATCAGTGTGTGCACAGTGAAATCGTTCTGTCTATAATGAAATTGCTAGCATATCCCTGTTGAATTCCTCATTGCAGCCACAAAAATGTGTCCAAAGGATCTGTATCTGTCCACAGACATAACAAGTAATAAAGTTATATGACACAGTAAATTTGTCCCCTTCCAGAGCTTCTCATCACTGCGGTCATCTGGACCTGGCTGCACTAATTGAATTGCCCCTCCCATGAGCTACTGCTGAAATGACACAACAAACAACCGGACGGATATTAGAAGCAGCGAATGTTGTTCCACAGCTTTGCTCCATTCATTAATTCTGCTCTCTGATTCTCTTTTTACTCACTGTTAGTGCAAGGAGGTTTTTATAAAGCTCATTATCACCATGTTTTTCCAAACAGCATCACAGATTCAGACATTTTAGTTTGTTTGGACACTACAGCGCTGTGCAAAAGTCAAAGAGCACCCTCATTTATTTCATTTCCAGTCAAAACAGCCATTAAGTACAAGTTAATTATTTTTTAGGAGACAGTTCTGAGGAGATGCACTTGCATGAGGAAAAGTCAAAGAAAATAATAAAAAAAACTCAGACCTGATAAGCGAAGCCACTCCCTGTTGATTTCTTGAACCAGCTTCTAAGTATTTGTTTCTGTTTAGTTTGTTTTTTAGGGAGCGTATGCACAGTGCTGCAGCTATGCATAGTAAATAGTAACTAAACAGAGACCACCCTTCATTTTTTAAATTTCCAGTCAAAACAGCCATTAAGTACAAGACAGGATATATTTCTGAAGAGCTTAGATATAAGATAATCCACTTGCATAAGGAAGGGGATAATAAGTGGGGGAAAAAACAGAACTTTCCAAAACTGGAGTCCATAAAATTATTAAAGGATGTAGATAAAATGTGACTCCTAACAACTGTGCAAGATATGGTAGACCACCACCAATTCTTTGAATAAATTTCCAGTTAAGACAGACATAAAGTACATGGTATGTTTTTCAGAAGAAAGCAGAATACATTTAGTCATATGCAAAAGTTTGGGTGTCTTTGGTCAAATGATTATTTTGTTGATTTTCTAAGTGAAAATAAGTTTAACATGTTAAAAACTGTTGCCAAAGGTGTCACCATCACCAGCTGTTCTCCTTAAAAGAGACACTTACATTTACACAGTTACAACTACCCAAACACACCTTAGCTGGCTTGCAAATTTCTTTTTTAGATGCATCTAAAAGTTTGATTACCAACTTCTAAGACTAAACTTTGGAGCCGTGGAAAAATGTTCCTTCAGATTTCTTTGAAAAACTGAAAGCAAGCCTCTTGAAAAGAATAGAAGCTGTTATAAAGGCAGAGTGGACACTAAATATAGGGGAAAAAAGATATTTAGTTGTTGAGGCTTCTGTGTAATTTTCTGTTAAATATATCTTTTGCTTTTTTGCCAAAAAAGTAAAACTTATACATATTTTCAAATAAGTTAAAATTTCCAATAAACTACAAATTAAAAGCATCCAGGAACTGATTTCCAAAAAGGAACCTCATTATTTTTTATTTTTCATGGATTTTAAATGGTTCAAAGCAGTCTGATCAAAAATTCAAGTTTTGCTATTTATCAATACTGTTAACGTAAAAAAAATGAGTATTGTTATGTGACACCAATGCCAGTATACTGATGATGCATTACTCAATACTACTTGCTGTCTATCTATCTTTCTCTCTATGTCTCCTTAGATACATTGAGAAGTGTAAGCTGAGAAGGTAAGGAGGTCCCACTGCAAGGATGATCTGCTCTGATAAAGACCCACATCTGACCCCAGTGAAGAAATCTGGACAGAGGAGATTCCTGCGTGCGCAGGGCCACCCATCCCCAGCTCTGTGCTGCGCTTGTGGACTTTGCATACTGCTGGCGGGCATTAACATTACTCTGGTGGGGGCTTTCGGCTTTGCCAAGATGTTGCCATTAAACAACCCTCCCATTATCATTGGACCTCTCCTCTTGCTGGTGGCACTGTCGTTTTTTGGGGCATGCTGTGTGTGCAGTCGCCAGCCGACCATCCACTCTTCCCGCAAAGTTGCTGGGCAGAACCACTGGGGGTTAATGAGAGTGGCCGGCACTGCGTTCGAGATGGAGGCCAGTGAGCACACGCTGCAGGACACCACTGCCATTCAGCTCAGCCCAACAAACTCTCCATGCTCCTCCCACCGCTCTAGCCCCACCCACTCACCCACAATTGTGCTCCACCCATCAGAGACCAACAACTTACCAAATGACAGTCATTTATCCTGTGAGGCATCTTCAATAGGAGATGATACCAGTCCACTTAGCCCCTCACATGATGCGACAGATACATAGCCTGGACTCGTGCACTGAGTTACTAGTTTATTAGATACACTTAGATTGTACCTACACTCATTGGCCGCCTTTTTCCATGTACAGCACGTTTTAATAATCTTCTAGTCCTCCATCCATGGACAGTTTCTGACCACTGGACCACTGTTAGTTTTGATCATTCTAAACTGATTCTAAGTCAGAGACCATCCTTTCATTTATTTCATTTCCACTCAAAACAGCCACAAAGTACAAGATGTTTAATTTTCAGCATCAGGACAAATATAGAAAGTGTCTGTTTAATAGAAAATTAAACCGAAGTCTCAACAACTAAATATAATATCATTTTAGCGTGTCCAAGCGGTTGTAAATAAAAAGGTGGTCTCTGGTTGTCTTTACATGTCCAGCTGTTTTGGTCTTATTTTACTACTTCATCTGCTGTCAGTTTTGACCACATGACCACTGTTAGCTGGATTTTTATGGGTGGTAGACCACTCTCAACCCTGCAGCGACATTAAGATATTTGAAAATCCCAGCACACACTGCCATGTTGGTGTCTCTGCTGTGCTGAGAATGGTCCGCCACCCAAATAAAATCTAGTCAGAGGTGGTCCTATGGTAGTCCGTTTTCATTGATGAATGGGACAGTGGGAAGTTGATTCACTGTGTAGCAGCAGCTGGGCTACTGTTAGTAACTGTAAACCGTTTATAGTAGGTGCATTTAAAGGTACCTAATAAACTAGCAACTCAGTGTATGAAGTTTTAAATCACAGACACTGCAGTTTTCAGACTTTTATTCCACCAGACTTTTTACTGCAGCATATCTCAAACATCTTAAGAGAGACATAAACGAATTTTCAGAACTGCCACACACGGACAGGTGCTTGCTTTGAAAATATCACTGGTTTATTCTTTGTAGTTCCATTAGGCACATCAGATCAGTCTGCCTGCAGACACTGCCGGGGTGAGAAAAGCTCATCACAATGTCCTCATCTCACACCTATGAGACCATAGAACAGGAGAAAAGACTTCTACCTCATCCTGCTGACTCACTGTGACAGACTGTGAGCTGAAGCTTTCAATCAAAAAGTGTTACATTCATTTAAGGACATCTTTCACATCCTTCACTCTCACTGATCATTACAGTCAGTTAGCTTTACCTTCACTGAGTGCATTTAAATTTGTGTACCTGCAGCCTGTTTAAAAGACGAATATATTTTGAACAGAAAGAGTTCTATTTGAAATTAGAGAACTGGTCCAACAATAATGCTAACTCTGTTTGAGAATCAGTAGACAGCAATTAGTATTAATGACCTGCATAAAGGTCATTTGGGCTATTTGATTGTGTTCACTCATTACTAACTGCTGTGAATTTTCAGTGTGTATGGTACTTTAAATTTATAAAGATATATGTAAAAACATATAGATATAATTGATTTATTTTTTATTTTAGTTAATTTATTTAATTTATTATGACCACCCTTTCACTTATTTAATTTAAAGTCAAAACAGCCATAATTAAGTACGCATCAGCCATTTTTCAGCATCAGAAAAAAGTATTTAGTGTGTCCGGTCTTTTTGTCTACTACAGTGTCCGTTCTTTTTGGGAGACTGGAAATCTCCAGAGATATTTTTCCACATTTACAAAGTCTTAGATGTTGAATTGTTGAATATCCTGCTTTGATGATTCATGTAATCCTAAAAACAGACTGATACTCATCAGTCCGTAAAGCCTCCACATCTCAGAGTTTTGGTTTCTTTTTTGTCTATTTCCTTTTCTCATTAAGGGCATCTTGACAGCTACACACCCTTTCAGACCTGCAGTGTTGAGTTGTCTTCTCACAGTGGAAGGATGGACAGAGAGAGCTGTGGAGTGGGAGCTTGATTTTCTCCTCTCTCTTAAAGATGAAAGCTCTAAGTACTCTGTTTATCTGATGGTGACAGTTTTGGTGGTCTACCAGGTCTTGCACGGTTGTTTGGAGTCCCATTTTATATCTTTAGATCTTTTACGATTTGACCTGGGGTGCCTAGACTTTTGCATATGACTAAATGTGTGCTGCTTTTTTCGGACCATGGAAAATGTAACTTGTACTTTATGTCTGTTTTAACTGGAAATTAACCAACGAAACGGTGGTATATATAGGGTATTATATAAAGGGTATATAAAGGATATATAAAGTGTGAAATCGATGTTTACCTTTGTTACAGTGAGTCATTGGTATTTTAGTCATTATGGATTGACTGGATGGAGTATTCACTACTGTTGATGCTGAATGTTCTAAGATGTGTAAATCCTGTCTTATTTATCCAAAACAATTGTAAATAAAGTGATACAGTTTGTGTTCAATTTGAGAGAAAGTCTCAAAAGACGTTATCTGTTGTTGAGATTTAGATGGTTGGAAACTGAAAAACAGCTCTCATTTGCTGATAATGAGGTTGTTTTCCTTAAAACACTGCTCATCTATTTTTTTGTTCACTCAGCTCTGTAAAGTCTTCGGTTTGTCTGTTTTTGTCTCTTTGTGAAAAATGAGACCTGTCTGAAAATTTGCTTTCCTCTGTGAAGCTAATGTTGGTGAGGATTTTAAGTGAATTACAGGATAAATCATTAGCAGGGGAGAAGAACGTCCAAAGTCTCCTCACAACACCATATAAACTATGTAGCCTGATCAGCATACTGTATTGTAAAACACATGATTTACTACCCCTGTTATACAAAATGCCATAATCTTGTCTTATCGTGCAGGTGCCTGTGCATCCAGGACAAACATTCTAATGTTGCGGTAAATGTTGTTAATTGTGTAGCCGTGTTTGCACAGAAGCGCAGCTGCACCATCTGTGCACATTGCTCCATCACAACGGCCACAAAGCAGCTGCGCTACAGAACCAGCAATGTCTGGGAACAGGCTGAAAAACACGATACAACAGGGCCAGCAAGGAAAAAAGAGAAGTTAAGGACAAACAGACTACAATACTGTATTTTGAGCTTTTACATCTAGAGAACACTTTTACAAAAGTGTATTTGAAATTGTGGTGTAATGGAATGGAAATGTTTTGCAACATTTTTTGAATTTTCATAGAACTGAAGTGTGATTTCTTGTATGTGCATTTATATTAAAATGCTCTCTAAAAGGCAGAGAGGCTGGATTTCACTGAACTTAGTCAAGGAACCATTCTAGACCATTAAACAACCATTACATGCTCAGCACTGGAAAACATTCATTTGATTCATACTGGATCAAATCAAGTCAAGTCACCTTTATTTTTATGCTGCACAATAAAATCAACTAAAAGTAACCACAAATAACTAATCAAAACCGCACAAGAACTTCAACAAGGACAACAGTAGTCATATAAAAACAATTCAAATGAAAAAACAATAAAACAAAGTAGAAGAGCTACTGATGGCAAGACAGGATCAACCAAGACAGAACAGATGACTGAGTGAACACATAGTCTTTAAAAGAACTTTGATAGGTGTTTAAATTTAACCTGAAAATATCTATTGAGGATAATTCCTTTATGAAAAGCTTAAGACTTTTCCAATGTCTCGGGGTCAGCTACAGAATAGGCCTAGTTACATCTGAACCTCACCTGAAAGCATGGAATGGCTAAGTGGCAACTGGATGGAAGATTGTAGGGCTGGAGTAGAGTGGAAGTAGACAAGGTCAGAGATATACACTATATGGCCATAAATATGTGGACACACTTTACATCGCACCTATATGAGCTTGTTTGATAGCCCATTCCAAAACCATGAGGATTAATATGGAGTCCCCTCCCCTCCCCTTTCTGGCTATAACTCTTCTGGGAATGTTTTCCACAACATTTTGGGGTGTGTCTACAGGATTTTGTGCCCGTTCAGTCAAAAGAGCATTTGCGAGGTCAGACACTGATGTTGGATGAGAAGATCTGGCTCGCAATCAGTATTCCAGTTCATTTTCAAAGGTGTTCAGTGGGGTTGAGGTCAGGGCTCTGTGCAGGTCACTGGAGTTCCTCCAATGCCAAACTCGTCAAACCATATCTTTATGGAGCTCACCTTGTGCACAGGGGCAGAGATATGCTGGAACAGGAAAGGGCCTTCTCCAAACTGCTGCCACAAAGTTGGAAACATATAATTGACTGAAATGTCTTTGCGTGTTGTAGCATTAACATTATCCTTCACTTGAACTTAGAGCCAAACCCTGAAAAACAGACTCAGACCATTATCCCCCTTCCACCAAACTTTACTGAAGGCACTATGCATCCCTGGTATCTGCCAAACCCTGATCCTGTCCACATACTTTTGGCCATATAATGTAGCTTGGAGCCAAGCCATGCAATGTTCAGCTCTGTATTTTGCTGGTAAACATACAGCAATGCAAGTACAGAGGTATTGCTCTCTGTTTTCTAAGTACCACTCAGGAGCCTCGCAGCTGCATTTTAGACCAGCTGTAAGAGTCACAAACTCAACTGACAGATTCCCAAGTACAGCATGTAGCAATAATCAATACGAGAGTAAATAAAAGCATCAACTACTGTTCCAGGTCCTTAAAAGACAATATGCTTTCAAGTTTTGCTATACTTCTGAGTTGAAAGAAGCTACCTCTCACAGCAGTGTTTATTTGCTTCTCAAACTTAAGAGCAGAATCAAAGATAACACCAAGATTTTTTACATGGTTATGTATGTTAGACTATAATGGCCCCAGAACATTAGCTACAGCTCTGGCTAAATCAGGATTTTCAATAATACTAATGTCTGTTTTGTCTTGGTTTAATTTAAGATAGTTCTTAGACATCCAGCACTCACTTATGTCTCTTAAACAATCAGAAATGAGGCACATGGAGCCATTTTCACCTGGGAGATAGAGCTGTGTCTGTCATCTGTCATCTGTGATAGGGGATTTTGTACATCTGAAAGATGGACCCAAAGGGAGCATGTACAAAGAGAACAAAATAGGACCCAAGATAAAGCCCTGAGGTACCCCACAAGTAATAGGTGCTGACGAGGAGAAAAAGTGACCCATCTTGACAGAAAAAAGTTTCCATGTAAAAGGCTAACCACTTCAGCGCAATTCCCAGGAAGCCATCATAGCACTTCAGGTGATCCAACAAGATAGTGTGATTGTCAGTGTCAAAGGCTGCGCTGAGGTCTAAAAGAACTAAAACAGCACATTTTCCAGAATCAACAGCTAAAAGTAAGTCATTAGATATCTTCAGAAAAGCAGACTCAGTACTGTGTTTAAAAATGTAGAAGGGTGAAAAAAGATAGCCTTCTCCAAAACCTTGAGAATGGTAACCTAGAAATTTGTCTAAATTTGTTGAGGACCGATAGATCGAGCCCTGGCTTTTTAAAAAGAGGCTGAATGACTGCATGTTTAAAACAAGAATGATGAGACTGCTATTTATTATGGACATAATACTCGGACCAACACATGGCAGCATATCTTTGAGAAACAGTGTGGGAAATGCATCGAGGGAGCAAGTGGTAGGCCTCGTGCATAATTGGATAGGTTAGATAAGACACTGACACAGGCTCTAACTGATTAAGGAAAACAGAACGTGTAGGTAAATGAGCATGGTCGTGGGCCGGAGATAAAACATGAGCTCTTATGTTGTCAATTTTGCAGATAAAAAATCTCATCAAATCTTCACACATTTCAGCAGTTTCCTCAGGGGCTCGATGTAATGGCAGAATGCAGTATTGTATTAATTGTATTAAAAAGTACTTTATGACTGTGGGTTTGAAGGATTATTTTGGTGAAGTATTTTGCTCCAGCAGTTTTAACTACACACTGATAGTTAGTTAGACATTCTTTGAAAATTTGGGGACTTTAAGCTTATCTTCTTTCTATTTCCTTTCTGCCTTCCTTCATTCCTGCCTAAGTGCACTAGAATTGTTATTATCCACGGCTGAGATTTTATTTAGAATTTCCTAAATTTAAGTGGAGCAATTAAATCTACAATGTCAGCACCTGTAGAATTGAACAAAGCAGTCAGCTCATCAGTGCTAGTTCAGAAGGCATACAAGTACGAGCAGTAAACAAGCCGACGAGCACTCACAAGAAGCGCACACTGTAGGCCTAAAAAATGGTAGTAAATTAGTGGATTACTTTCACAGTAATTTACTGTACCATATTAGCCATTATTATGTTTTGCACTGTATATGCATAGAATATCTAAAATGTGCATTTTTCAAATGCATATACACTTTTTTACCAGCACTTTTAACATATTTTAGCTTTATTTTGCACAAATATACCAAAAACTGGCAATACCAATAAACAGTGTCATTTTTGTCAGCATGTCAATGTTCCAGCATTTTAACAATATAAAACAAAAAATGAGTCTTTAAAAAAGTAAAATGTTGATGCCTTTTTAACTGTCATATAATGCTGGGTGGTGCATCTCAACATTAACCTCAGAGTAATTTGCTGTATTATTACAGAAAATGTCTTTAGATTAGTTGATTTCACAACAAAGTAATAAATACAGTAATTTACTGTGAAAAAATAGTGCAACATGTGAAATCATGGCAATAATTAACAGGGCATTTAAGAATTACAGGTAGACTTACATAGGACCCTATGAAATCTGTTTTTTTAGCACAAGATCAAGCTTTTTCTTCAATGTAACCAAGGGTCCCAATAATTTTAAAGTGCATTGTAGTCTTTTTATTATTACTTTAACATTACATTTTTATTGTTATTATATAAAACAATAATAACATTGTACATTACAAGTAAGTTCAACAAAATCTAGCAGAATTCTATTAAAACTAAATACTCTCCAGACAGGTAATCTAAAAATAACAAATTGTATGTCATAAATAATTGTTTATACATTTAGCATTTTAGCAT